TTGAGCACAGCACGGGAGCAGGAAAAACACTGCTCCTAAGATTTTGTGAAACAACTGTGGAGACAGCATTATTTACAGCCAAATTTAAACAAGACTGTTTTACTCTCCAGTGTAGAGTCCTGTGGGGTTTTTAAAAAACAAAAAACAAAAACCAACATTTCAGAATTTTGCAATCTGGGTTTGAAGTTTTATGTACCTTAAGCTTTGCTCTCAGTAACATGAATGTCATTGTAGTTGCAAAGATAGGTTATTTCAAATAATTAAAATATTTTTCCAAAAGACTCAGTCTGTTAACCTACTTAAGAACTTAAAGCTACAGAGTAAAAAACCCAAAACATTCCTGTCAAAGCTTTTTTTTTTTTTGTACAGCAGATATGTGCCATTTTTCCCATGCAAAAAGCTATATCTTCAGTCTTAATTTTACAGGGGAGCAATAGACACGTTCGCTTTAGTAAGTGAAAGCTAGGTTAAGATAAACTAGGACACACTGTCTTTATTAATAGATTGAGAGTGAAACAATTTTTAATGCTTATTCTTCTGTTATGACATCCGTCTTTTAAACTGTCTTCACCTGGGCTGATATCCTCCCTAAAAGCAAGTGAAAGTTTTACTTAAAATGTTGAGACATAGAAAAAAAAAAAATCTAAAATTAAAGCTTTGTGGTATAATTTAAACAGAAACCTATTTAAAGATGTTCAACTTACCTAACAGCTCCAATATGAAATAAGAAAGACTTGTTAGATGGTCTAATTTATAGGGCATGTAACTTGAGATTGATCTCATTACCTACAGGAAATACAAAGAGCAAGTAAGAGGATATGAATAGAAATTCCAAGTTTCAAGAACTTTAACTTGAAGGATGGGGGGGGGAGTGTTTTAAGATTACTGAACTTAAAATGCGAGGAAAATATCTGAGGGTACTTCCTTGATTTGTAGAAGCGCTTTCACATGTTAAAAAAACCCAACCCTGGAGCAGAACAAAGCAATTTCTCAATACATGTTTGAAATACCTAATGTTTCCACAGAACGGCTGTGTAAATGTTAACTTGTAAATGTCACTGAAGATAAGCCAAAACAAGGAGTTCACCTGAAATGTAATATGCAGGAAAACCACCACCATCATTTTCATTAGATTGAAGACTTATCAGTCATAATTATTGATGTTTTAGAAGTAAATAGAAACTCATAATTGTAGCAGCAAAGCTGAAATTCAATGGTACATCTACAGCATATGTAGTGGTAACAGCCACAGAAGCACATACTTAGATAACCTCCTGAATACTCCAGAGGAGTATTATATATCATAAATAACAACAGTTTTACAGTACTACTTAACTAGTACAGTTTTATCCAACAGAACAATGACCTTCTAGTGAAGGAAAAAGCACCTCTAAACCAGTCCTGTAAGTCCAGAGGCCTCAAGATGTGGAGCATCACTGTAATGGAAATGCATTGCCATGTATTTTTAAGTTGTCTTCAGCTGAGAGTTGTTTCTATCTAACAGAGACTTTTAGGAAAGGAGTTTCAGGCTGTGCTTCAGTTCAAACAAATTGATGTCATGTCATTCTTGTCATGTCAGGCCAGCAGCCTGAGGTTGCAGCAAGGCTAACAGCTGAGTCAGTTGAGGAATAGGTGCTTTGAGATTAGATAGTGAATGTGAGCAATAACCATATTAGTCTAAGATGCTGCTGGATCACCTTCACAGGCATTCTGCACCTGTACCCTGTATCTTCATACTTACCTCAGCAACTGATGCAGAGTCCTTTGTCTTGGTGTTGTGCCTACAGAAACCCAATTAATTCTTGCAGCATTGTTTATTGAGTGCCCTGGAAAAGGCACCAGTCCTGTAAAAAATAAATAAACAGTACCTAGTTGTATGTACAGAGGAGGGCTATTTTAAATTTGCGTGAGTAACCTTCATTTAAAGTTTCTTGTTAAATTTCAAGTTTCTTAGCTTTTGGGTGTTTGACTTAATGCTTTCAACATTCTTTTGGCTGAGGTTTTCTAATTGTTTTATGGAAACAAAACCCAAACAGAGAACATGAGACAAGCCATTACCTGGGGTCCAGATGAGCCCTAGAAAAGATCACGGGCAGAACCTGGGCCATTGCATCCATGGTGAAAACAAATTTAGTATTCAACTGCATCTGGAAGAAACTACAGGTTAGGCAAGTGTGAGAAGAGGATAAGGTTTGGTCTCCATTAGTGGGTTTCATATCCTGACTGATGGCCTGGGACACCTGAAGGGAGAGAGAAATGTACGTGTGTGATAACCTCCTGAGAACGGATGTAGATTTGATAAATTCTAAACTTTTCTTCTCTGAATTTTCATCAGCGTATTGATCAAAAGGAGCAAGCTAAAATAGATATTTAAAAATACTTACATTTTTATTATGTTTGTTTATGATTGCCTAGTAGAATATTCCATAGAATTATCATAACATGTAAACTATGTTTTGCTTTTGCTTTGAGCTGCATATTACAGAAGCTCAGCAAGATTCAAGGATACAGATCTGATAAAGAACAAACAATTTTTGAGTATTGAGGTAACTTTTCTTCTGTATTTCCACATCTGTCATCAAAAGCTTTTATCATTTCAGTTCTAGTGAAGCAAATGAAGGATATTACAAGAGTAGGTTGTGTTGTACAATGTAGGTAGGTAAATGCAAAACATGCTAAGGACAAAAGTTGGTCAACAGTGCTTTCTTGACTGCTTCCAGAAATGCAGACACTAGAGCTGAATTTCAGTTTATTAAAATGGATGTGTGTTCCTTCCATGAGCCTGTTCATTAGCCTTTCCTTTGTATTGAGGAAATTAACCTCCTGAAAGTTGGGGTTTTTTTCCTTCATAGTGCTAGTCACACCTCAGGTAATTTTGAAAATTCTTTTCTTATTCTCTAAGTTTGTGTTTAAATGGCCCCAACCCCATTTATATTTTCTGTCTATATTGATTTTGTGCTGTTCTGCTGTTGTTTCCATCCTACCTTACTTCCATTTTTGTCCTGTGCTTTCTGCATTTCCTTTTCTCTTCCAAATTATTTTCAGACTGTTGCCAGCAGTTCCCTTATTCCTGGGAATATCAAGAAGAGCAGAGAGCATGTGGGAACTAGTGTCTCCCCTTCTCAGAGGAGGGCTGAGGATCCTTTTGCTGAGCTTTAAAAACAGGAAGCAAAAAATTCAGCAATATATGGACACCTGAGATGGCAAACTTCAACACTTTCTTTTTTCCTTTTTTATTTTTAAATTGTAAGCAGCATTCGAGAGCAGAAAGTCTTAATTTTACCTGTAGACAGTGTAATTAGTGCTCATAAACGTTACTACCATCTTGTTTCACTGACTTAAGTTATGTGTGAAAGATACAAGTGGAGTTCACTAGGTGTGTCTGGTATGTCACTTGTTGCAGCTCAGCTGAAAAACAGAGAAAGAAATGAGTTTTGTGTTTATAACAAATAGAAAGCAAGACAGTATCTCACCTCTTCAATAGTTATTAATAGAAAAACAGCATTCTAATTAGAGAGAGAAAATAACCCTTATGTTTATGAAACAGCTGAAACTATTATTCCATATATTCTGCAGTTGTCCTTCATTATCTGCAGAAGGTTAAATTATTCACTACTACCATAGTTAACATTGCTGCAGGCTCCTCAAGGGTTAAGGTCCCTCTGCTGTACAGTTCCATTTGACTCCTGAGCCTCAAGAGCAGAGCTGGGTGAACGTTTCATTCCAGGTTTCATCTGGCATCACACCTAGTTTATCACTCTTGAGACAAATTCTGCCAAGCCCTGGTTTCGAACTGGGACTTCAACTTGCATCCATGTCTCCTTATCATTTTTAAAAGTGCTACTCTAATTTCCAAGCATCCTGTATTGATTTTGCTTTAAAACCAGGTATGTTTGTATAACTGTAGGTTAATATGATTTTATAATAGTACTTTTCAACTTCCGATAGCAAAAATCACTTGCAATCTGACACTCTTTGAGGTCTAGACAATCGTGTCTATTATACCATTACACAATACTCCCAAGAACATTGTTTTCTTCTGATTCATAAGAGTCGTAATAGGGCCATTAGTCTTTCTAACACTTCTCTATGTGGTTTCAAAACCAGCTAACAAATTTCCTGGTGGCAAGTATTTCTTCTCCTATTTGCACTTACTGTTCTTCTAGAGAAAAGCTACAAATAAATGTAAAATGTATGATTAACCTTTACCCTGCTTTGTATTTGCAGCACTGCTAGGATATCGTGGCAGCAAGTACTAGTATTTTTCCACCATATATGTTATTTTCTCTGGAGAAGAAATAGCGGAATAACGTAACTGTTTTTCTTCAAATTTGGCTTCAAAATTAAAAAAAAAAAAAAAAAAAA